CATATCATACTTCACTAAATCCTGTGTTTTGCTGCCCAGGGAACATGGTAAAATTACTGAATTAATATAATCATGTTAAAGGGATTAGAGTAAGTACAATTCACATCTCTTTTTGAGTATGTTCTAGCCTCAAGTTGACCCCTTGTCTAGCCCTGGTCCTAATTTCTCCCTCTGTTCCTAGCATGGTCTTAATTCTTTCACCTATCTTTCCTATTTCAACTACCTATTACTTTACTTCTTTTACCCTTCTTCTTTCCCTCCACTCCCTTACCTCATGCTCCATACTTTCCCTTTTTTTGAACCAGCCATTGATTTTCCTGCATCTCCCTGATAGAATATGTTTTATTTTATTTTATTTTCCTTAGGGACATGAAAAATAAAGACCTTTTTCCCATCAATTCCCCTTCAGCAGACAAGTTTGTCAGCCCCTCTAAACTGTGTTCAGCACTGAATTTCTCATGTATATGGACCAATATCCAAGTGGTGGCTGCATTAAACTTTTTGTCAGGCTATAATAGCATATGCATCTGTAATTAATGAAGCACAATGATGAAAACTACAGATGAAATGAAATTTAATCTTACATATATATGGCCTTTTCAGGAGTTCTTAATCTGGAGTCCATGAACTTGCTTAATATTTTGATAACTATATTTGAATATAATTTGTTTCCTTTGCAGTTCTATGTATTTTATTTAATTTGGGTATCCCTTTTGAAGAGGGAGAACCAATTTAATTTTATTTAGTGGCCATCCCTTTTGAAGAAAGAGAGCTAATTTATTTAATTGATAATTTAATTTAATAATAATACATAATTTTATGTTGTTTATTTAATTTTAATGTGTTTAAAAGCATTATTCCGAGAAGGGCTCCATAAGCTTCAATAGAATGCCAAAGAGATTTATGACATGAAAATAGTTAAGAATCCTTGCTTTAGACCACTTTTCCTTTATATTAGAATTATTACAAGTATTCTTATTTATTTGCTTGTTTGCTTTTTCGTATTTGCATTTAATTTTAATTATATTTTTAAAAGTATCCTTATAATGCCTTCTATAGTTGACACAATTTTTTATTAGAGAAATTAAGTATTATACAAAGAAAAAAGGGGAAAATATTTATAACAAATTATTTGTGGTTATTTGTTTTTGCCTGTCTTTGCATCCTCAGTGTTTGCCATTATGTCTGCACAAAGCAAGCAGTTAATAAATGCTTTTTTCATTGATTTTTCATTTATTCATTATTCCTGTGGAAGATTCCCTTAAACTGTTAGTATTTTCTGCTTTTTAATCAAATTATTATGTATCTGTGTATTTGTTTGCTTACATGTTGTATTACTCAAAAAAAGGTAAACTCCTTGTGGGGAAAGGACTGTTTTGTTTTGTACTATCTCTGGAGCCACTAGATACTACGATTTGTTATATTGAATGGCATTAGAGTAGGGTGTGTGTGTGTGTGTGTGTGTGTGTGTGTGTGTGTGTGTGCGTGAGAGAGAGAGAGAGAGAGAGAGAGTATTAATAAAGCACAATTGTCATAGGCCACTAGTTAGGAGTTGAAAATATTTTCTTATTTTTATTTTTTTTAGGCAACTGGGGTTAAATGACTTGCTCAGGGTCATACAGCTAGTAAGTGTCAAGTGTTTGGTCTGAGGCTGGATTTGAACTCAGGTCCTCCTGACTTCAAGGCTGGTGCTCTATCCACTGCACCACCTAGCTGCCCCCAAAATATTTTCTTTATAGTGAATGTATTCAGCTAATAGGATTTGAGTTGAACTCCATCTCCAGATGGTTAGCAGGCATAAATAGACCAAGAGAGTATTTAGATTCTGAGATCTTCATTGAATCTTGGCCTCAAAGAAGGTCTTTGTTTCCTGAAATGGAGGCATTATAATCCAAAAGAATGGAAGCTTTTTGAGGGCAGGATACATGTAAGACTTGGCACATAGTATATAGAAGGAATGCTTTTTGATTGGTTGATTGATACTTTAAAGAATCACCCTAAGTATAATTCAGGTTAGCACCTGTGTTATGTTTGGTTAATAGTTTATCATTCTAACTGAGATTTTACGTTGCTCATTAAACAGACATCTGTTGAACGGTGTGCAGAACGCTATACTACGTGCTGGAGGAGGTACAAAATTCAGTTAAAACACAATCTCCCCAGCAATGAAACTTACTAACTAAATTCTTATTATTCATTGCTCATAGCCCAAGGGCCTCTCAAATTCTCAGGTGCTCCAGGCCCCAGAGGGGCAGCTAGGTGGCACAGTGGCTAGAGTACCAGGCCTAGAGGTAGGAAGAGTTAGGAAGACTCATCTTCCTGAGTTCAAATCTTGGCTTAGACAGTTACCAGCTGTGTGACCCTGCGTAAGTCACTTAAACCTGTTTGCCTAAGTTTCCTCATCTATAAAATAAAGTGGAGAAGGAAATAATAAACCACTTTAGTATCTTTACCAAGAAAACCCAAATGGGGTCACAAAGAGTCAGACACAACTGAAATGATTAAACAACAACATCTGAACCCCAGAATTGCTTAAACCCAATGTAGATATAGGGATAAGACTGTAACAAGGTGAATACTTTACATATAAGGATCTGTCCCAAATTATGGGATATTATGAAGTCAAATAGTGTTCTGAAAAAATACTGCTTTAAATTTAAAATATTCCACAAGTACACTTATTAGCTGTTTAACCCAAAGCAAGTTACTTAACCTAAATCTCAGTTTCTTTAGCTGTAAAATGGGGATAATAAGCCATAAGTCTTCTTACTTTCTGGAGTCATTAGGAGGGAAAGTGCTTTGTAAATCCTAAAGTTCTATAAACATGAGACATTGATGTTATAGTCATCTCTGAATGCCCAGCTCCAACAGTTTTTTTCTTAAAATAAAAAAAGTTTTTATTAATAGCTTTTTTTGCATCATAGTAATTTCTTACCTATCCTCTCCAGATTGAATTTTTCTTTGTGACAAAGAAAAACAATTAGGCAAAAATATCCGATACAGAAATCTTTTCCAGCAGTGTACATAATACTCTGATCTGGTCTTCCCCACTCACCATGAAGGGGGAGGTAGGCTTCACTCTCTTTTCTTCAGGGCCTCCCCTGTTTCGAATTGGTTTGGGGTTTTCCCCCCTTTAGAGGCAGCTAGGTGGTGTGGATGGAGTGCTGGGATTGGAATCAGGAAGACCTGGGTTCAAATCTGACAGAAGATGCTTACTAGCTGTGTGATCCTGGGCAAGTGATTTAATCTCTTTCCATCTCAGCTTCCTCAAATGTAAAATGGAGGTTACACTAGCACCTACCATACAGGGAGGCTGTGAGGATCAAATGACATAATATTTGTAAAGCACTTAGTGTGTGGTGCCTAGCACATAGTGGATGCTTAATAAATTCTCATTTCTTTCCTTCCATTATATACTCAACATTCAACTTCCTTTCAGTATTGTTATGGTTGTGTATCTTGTTATTGTGGTTTTATATATTTCACTCTGCATTCATTCGTGCATCTTCCCTTGTTTCTCTATATTATTCATATTCACGTTTTCTCATTGTAAAATCATGTTTGATTACATTCACATAGCATAATTTTTTCAACTGTTCCTCAGTTAATAGACATCTACTTTGTTTCCAATTCTTTGCTGACATAATGAATATTTTGGTGTAGATTTGACCTTTGTTTCTGCCTTTGCCTCCTTTGGGCCATATGCCCAGTAGTCAAATTGCAGAGTACATAGAGAGTTTAATGATTTTTTTTTGTATAATGCAAATTAAAATACAAAATAATTGAACCACATCTTCACAGCTCCATCATTGTTTCTTCAATGTGTCTATCTTCCCATAGTTCCTCTAAAATTGATTGTTGCCGTCTTCTGTGATCTTTCTCAATTAGCAAGAAATAAGTTAAAAACCTAAATTTTAAAAAATTTGCATTTCTTTTACTGTAATTGATTCGGAACATGTTTTCATGTCAATTGTTATTGGTAAATCTCTAGAAAACTGTTTATATATGTGCATATATGGATACACATAAATTATATGTATGTGTATATGTATAGCACCAAGTGCCAAATATTGTATGTGTGTATGTATGTATACATGAACATATATATATATATATATATATATATATATATATATATATATATATATATATATATATATATATATGCTCACAGACATACATTGCTTATATACATATATATGCATACGTATTTCCACTGAAGGGAAAGTCCAAAGATATGTCCTATAAGGACATGTCTATATAGTATCTTGAATATGCCCAGATAACATGAAAAATAGAAAGCCAAAATAATATCCACCATCTTTCCTGCTTCTGAGATTTTCTGTGATAAATTTTAAAATTCTTATCCAACTTAGGTAAAAGGGGATGACTGGTTATTTGTGTAGAGTATAGCAACTAGCCACAGTTGTTATCTCTTACAACTGGGAAAATGTCTTACCTGAATTTGAAAACCTAAATTAGTTTTAATTTTAGGCTAGGAAAAATGACCAGAGCAACTGGGATACAGGCAATGAAACTTAGAAGGGATATAAATTTAAGATGTGATTTTTAAAGGTTATATAACTTTAAAATTTGTTACAGTTACATTTTGGTGGTACTTTTACTCCTTTGGCAGCTTAGAAACTAATTAGCAAGAAAATTAATTAAATTTGGAAGCTTCCAAATGGAACCATTCCTTTCCCTAACAAGGGATAACTCATTGCCTGATTGTTTTTCTTTGTCACAAGGAAGAGTTCAGTTTGGAAGTGAACCAAGTAAGTCTCTCCCTGACCTGACCCAGTTCTCCCTGGACCTACTCTGCTCCTGCCCTAAGTGACACCTTTCCTAGAAGTAGCCTCAGGGTGTTCCAGATTTCTGTCTTCACCCACCTCTTCCATGGAGAGAGACAGAGATATTTTTAAGAATCTTTGGGGACCTTTCAAAAGAAAACAACAATCAAAATAGCCATTCCTTTTAACTCTTTGTTTTGCTTTTTCCAGAACACTAGCAGATGATGTAGGAATGGATATCCCCTTTGAAGAGGAAGAGCTAAGTCCCAATTCTGCAGACATGAGACCTGGTGAGAAAAGCATTAATTCATTCTCCTAGCAACATTCCACACCCAAGACATTTAACTATTCAGTGAGAAGAATATTTCCTGTGCTTTTAACAAATACTTTTGTGCTAGAAAAAAAAATAAAGAGGGAGGGAGGCAGGGTTTGCTGGGAGCTTAGACTTATTTTGTTATATTAATTTCATAGTTAATTTAAGCAATGATAATTTGTATTTGGAGCCATATTATCTCTTATGTCTCCACTTCATCTCTCATGGCTTTTAGTTGCTATGATTGCTATCTACTCTGTTATAGTTGTTGTTGTTCAGATCACTCTTTGTGATCTCATGGACCATAGCACACCAGGCTCTTCTGTCCTCTACCATCTCCTGAAATCTGTCCAAGCTCATGTTCATTGTTTCTAGGACATCTTGGCCTCTCCCATCCCCTTCCCCTCTTTGCCTTCAATTTCTCCCCAAATCAGGGTCTTTTCCAATGACTCCTGTTTTCTCATTATGTGGCCAAAATATTTAAGTTTCAGCTTCAATACTTGACCTTCCAGTGAATAGCCAGAATTAATTTCTTTAAGTATTGACTGATTTGACCTCCTTGCTGTCCAAGGATTCTCCAAAGTCTTTTGCAGCACCACAGTTTGAAAGCATTGATTCTGTGGAACTTGGCTTTCCTTATAGTTCAACTCTCACAGCCATACATTGCTACTGAAAAAACCATAGCTTTGACTACATGGACTTTTGTTGTCAAGGTGATGTCTCTATTTTTTAGTATGCTGTCCAGATTTGCCAATACAGCCCTTGTTCACTAAATAAAAAAGGCATGTGGTATAATGCAAAAGGCAGCTAGGTGGTGCAGTGGATAGAGTGCTGGGCCTGGAGTCAGGAATACTCATCTTCCTGAGTTCAAATCTGGCCTTAGACACTAGCTCTGTGACCCTGGGCCTTAACTCTAACCTTGTATTCCTCAGTTTCCTCATCTGTAAAACGAGCTGGAGAAGGAAATGGCAAACCACTCCAGTATCTTTGCCAAGAAAACCCAAAATGGGGTCATAGAGGATGGGACACAACTGAAAAATGACTGAACAACAACATAATGGAGAAAGTTAAAAGATTTGGGTTCATGTCACAGCTGTGCAACTCATTAAATTTAAACAAGTCACTTAAGCCCTCCAAGCCTCCATAGTTTCCTTCTCTGTAAAATGAGGCGTTGGTAGTGTGTGGTATGATCTCTAATGTCCCCTGCAGCTCTGATCTCTCTGGGCCTCACTTTCCTCATTTCTAATATGAAGTTATTGAATGAGGTGATCTCCACCATCACTTCCAAGTCTATCATGTTGTGATTCTATGATTCTTCATGGAAATCTATGCTAAAAAGTTGAAAAATTTACAGGAAATATGGTAGCAAGAAGGCAGTCAGTTTCAGTTCAATGCCCTAATTATGTAAAACCACTCTGGGGCCCACCCTCAAGGGTTTGTGGATAAGTTACTGAAAATAAAATGTGGCTCCTGAGCCTGCATAATTAAGAGACTTGTTTCAGGAATAAGCTATTCTGAGTTACTTTCAGGCTATTCATTTATAGGCACTACCTGAGGTTTGAGTGAGAATGAATAGAAAGTTGAAGTTCTTGGGGTTTTTTGGTTACCCTGTGTATATATGGAAATCTCATCTTGTTCCTGTTAACCTGCGAGCCTAAGGGGCCAGGGCTGGGGCTGGGACCAGGACCCAGTCCCAGACCTAAAAGAAGCAGAGTAGTTGGTTTACAGTATTTAAGAACAGCCAGAAAAGTTTGTATGGTTCCTACTCGTACCCACCTACCTCTGCTTCTGGACGTTTATCCAGTTACTTGACATGGGGGAGCATTGGAACATAAAGAGGCAGTTATACCTGCAGATATTAGCAATGAGATTCTCATCAATGGCTGTTACATTGGCTCCCTTGTAACTGCAGAAAGGATGCTATTATGCTGAATATCAGTGTTAGTAGGGTCATAGATTTAGAGCTGAAAAAGAATTTAGAGGCCATCGAGTCCCATCCCTTTCATTTTACACATGAAGAAACTGGAGATAAGAGAGATTTCCCTGGGGTCCCATAGCTAGTAAGTTTCTGGGAAAGAATTTGAATTCAGGTCTTCCTAACTCCCAAGTTCAACATTCTAAACACTGTAGGAGTACTAGTGATGACTAGTGATGCCAACTAAGCCTGATGGGTCAGTAATTTTCTTTGTTGTGTCTTTGACTGCGATTAAAATGATATTAAATAAAGAATAGTTATTTTAACTTATCTATAACAGACAGAATGCTGAACTAAGAGTAAGGAAAGCCTGGGTTCGGGTCCCACATCTAATCTTTACTAGCTGTGTTATCATAGACAATTTACTTCCACAGCCATTGATAAAATTTGTTTTGCTTGACCATGTATATTTCTTGCAAGAAATTTGTTTTTTCTTTTCTTTTTTTTCAATTTTTTCTGTTAAGTTAAAAAAATAGAGAGATGAGGGAATGGTACAGATGTGAAATGTTGTCTGCACTTTCATTTGAAATCACTGTATTATTAACTTTACTTTTTTATAAGAAACCTTTCTTAAAGTGGGAATAATCTGTAAATGTTTGTAATGGTAAAACAAAACACTTAAAAAAAACTCAAAAGTTACAAAAAAGTTTGAAAAAAAGCTCCTCCATAGGAGTTTACACCCTAAAAGGGAGTTACCAATGTGATAAAACTGGCCTATGTTAATATTGCTATTCCTGCTGTCTTTTTAGAACCACCTAATTCTCTGGATCTTGAGGGCTCTCACCCCCGGAGGATAAAACTCACAGCCCCAAATATCAACCTTTCTCTGGACCAGAGTGAAGGATCTGTTCTCTCTGATGATAACCTAGATAGCCCAGATGAAATTGACATCAATGTGGATGACCTGGACACCCCTGATGAAGCCGATTCTTTTGAATACACTGTCCATGGTAATGTACAAAGCTGGTGAGATTAAAGGCAAAAAGAGATTGAAGGGAAAGTAGGTGAAGTTAGAACTTTAGCAGTAAAAATTTACATACCTAAGTAAATACCTGTTGTCTTTGACTGCTTTCCATAATCTCTAGTAGCTACCATTCATGTCTGAAGAGATTGAGAAGTAGTGCAGAAGTCCAAAATAGCCGTCTCTGGCATAATTCCCTTTAGGAAATCTACGCTTGAACCTTGAATAGCCCCTGTGACCTGGGGAAATCCACACTTACTGTCAAAGAAAAGGAATTAGCCTCTGATATGATTAGTACAATGCTTGACACATAATAAGCACCAATATATTTTTATTCGTTGGTTGATTGATTGATTGTTATTAAAACTTTGAATATGATGTGTCAGCATTCACATTATATTCTTTCTTTCTGACTTGTTGAAGTTTGGACCAAGCTCTAAATATATCATTAGCAATATAGCATTGTGTAAGTGTAAAGCTTTTGTTTTAAGAATTATATCATGGAACTTTTACCTTATTTAATAACAGTGGAGTTTATTTAGAATGTATAGAGTTTTCAGAAGTCACAATATTTTTTGAAAAAGAGATTATGGGAATTTCTGTCCTTTTTAAGAGAAGAGAGTAGAAAAAATCAAGTTTTATAGAGAAATAGTTTACACTATAGTGTTCTTTAGTCCTTTGGCCTATATTAATTCTAGTATTTTAATAGTTACAAGGATATAGTTGAAAAGTAGTATGGTTTAGTGGATCAAGAGATGGCCGCAGAATCAGAAAGACCTGGGTTCAATTCCTACCCAGAACATATATTGACCTTGTGACCCTAGGCAGGTCACTTAACCTCTCAATACCCTTCCCCCTCCAACCCCAGCAAGTCTCTAAGGCTATCTCAAGTTATAGAACAGCTGCCAACCTGCATTGGAAAAGGGAATTCCTTAGACCTTTGCAATCATAGGTTTGGTCTATACGCACACATAACCTGAGAATGTAGTTAGGAAAGGTTATATAGGGAGGGTTGGGGAGAGGGGAACAACCCACTAGCAAGCCTTTCCAAGTCTTGTATGAGTCTGCTCCATTTTATTAGTGTTTACACAGAGAATCAGTGAATTCTGGTCATATTCGTGAATGCATATGGCTAGAAAGGTATCCATTTCTTTGGGTCAAAATTTAGATACCTAGGGAAAGAAGATTTCTCCCATTCTTGGGAGCATTCTCCAGCCTCCCTCAGGATTTCATAGATTTCAGATTTCCTGCCCATCCTACTTCCTCCTCTCTCTTTTTTCCTGCTTCTTCAAATCTCATTTAGTACAGCTGCAGGGTGTACACTTCAGCTTTTTCCTCCCACTCTTCTCTTCCTCTCATTGCTGGGTGCCCTAAAGGGCCGTGCAGTGCCATATGAACCTGTCCTTTTTGTAAATAGTGAAAGTGCTAAGCAAAGGGGCAATGTCGGAGAAAGCTGGTAATTAAAACCATCACTTGCTGACATGCCCCTTCCCTTTATTTTTCTTTGACACTGTTCTGTAGAGAGAACTAACTCAACTAACACAGCACTGTTTTTTTTTAACCCTGACATTCAGTTGACACATTTTTTACTAGAAGGTGATTTTTCAAATCCAAATGGATCTTAAAATGCAGTTAGTTCAAATGCTGTTTTTAGCAATGAACCTACAGAATACTGACAATGTTAGGTACATCAGAAAATATGCATGCAAGGGAATAAAACGGAAACTAAATTTAGTCAAACAGGCTAGAAATGGAAGTTAATGATATTTCAAAGAAAGGTATTAAAGCTGCGTGGATATCAACTAATAGCAACAACTGAAAAAGTAAGCAATGGTCTGCCTCTAGCATGTGTCTTTTGAACTGGGCATGTATAACATAAACAGGCCCTGAGTTTTGTTCTGTTACAGCTATACAAGAAATGTTTTGTGAAAAATAAATAGGGAAACACCTTATGTATCACATAACAGACACCCCCTAGAAGTAAGCATGATTCTTACTTTTCAAGACCCTGTCCTATTATTATTCTAACATGAGGGACCATTTAAATTTAGCAGGTTATTGAATCCCATACAACAGTAGTCCTTGAGGACTAAGACTGTGTGTGGGATGCCACTCAAATTAAAAATAAAACAAAACACAGAGGTGTCCAAGGAGAAACAGAAAGTTATTTTATTATAGCTATAATTATTAATATTTCAAATCTCGAGATTTAGGTGTCCCTCTATCAGTAAGCTCTGATGAACACGAGACAAGGGACATAGACACATAAGCTGGCTTAAATAATAAAAAAATTCCTCCTCCCCCACAGCTGTCCTTTAACTTGGCTCACAATCTCACATGCCAGACATAGTATACATCTCTATATTTCTTAGTTCGTTGAGATGATGTCAAAGGAGCAATAAAAAATGTGCAATTTACAATTGTTTTTGGGAGGTCTCAGGGATTGAATAGATAATGTTGGGAACAGAAAGCCATCTGAATAAAACCCTGTCAAAGAGAGATAAGGGGGCTTGAGCCTTTAGGGGTTTTTCCGAGACCTGGGATAAAAGGCACATCAAGATAAGATCAAAGGGCAGGCCAGAGCTTACTGCTATCTGTCACTAAAAAGAAGATCTTACAGTATTCTATTTAACCCTATCCTACCTTCTGAACCCATTACCTTAATTACACTGAGAAGTCTTCACTGGGACATCCCATTCAACTGTTGTCTTTTTTGTCTTGCTGCCCCCAATAACTAGCATAGTACCTGTTGTGGAATAGGTAGTTAAAATGCTTGTTGAATGACAGCGATTTGAGCTAATAATAAATTACAGTTATATACTTGAGTACCTAATTTGAGTTTCCCTATCAAGTGTATATATATATATATATATATATATATATATATATATATATATTATATATATATATATATATATATATACATATATACATATATATGTATATATGTATGTATGCATATGTGTGTATATATGTATATGTGTGTATATATACATACACACACACATATATGTATGTATGTTTAAATAATCCACATCTTGACCCAAAAGACCATGCTGTGGGTCAATCGATTGCTCAGAGAAGCTAATTTCCTGAAAGTGAAGACCAGGGGAAAAAAAGAAACTAAGCGAATACGGTACACTAAGAACTCATAATGTTTATATGATTAAATCCAAAGACATAGACACCATAAGGAATTTATGATCTAGGAGACAAAATGGGCTAGACATAAAATAATTTTGTGTCTTTGCTTTTTTTTTTCTAACCTTAATTTCCATTGTTGAGTAATGAGAGAAGCAGAATGTATATTTTAAGGTGAAGTAGCATCTGTAGGCAAGCAGAAGGGATGCAGGAAGAGAACAAGAAACCTGAAAGGGGAATTGAGAAAGATTAAGAGAGGGACAGAGAAGGCATAAGGATTAAAAACAAAGACAAAGATAAAAGGATGAAAAGCTGTGTTCCCTAGGATCTCACTTTCCAGTTTTGCTCTACCTACTGCCTTCACTAGTTCTCAGAAAATCCAGGCTTCCAAACTTGGGGGAAGAAGACAGGAGAGAGTAAGAGAGTCTCTCCAAGTATAGTGGGAAAGTGCTGCAAATGGACTCAGCCACCTGGAACTCTTTCCAAAGACTCAGCTTTCTGGCTCTCCCCCAGGCCTAAAACTTGTCTGCTTGCCAGATCAGCTCCAGCTTGCCTAGGGCATCGTATGACTTTGTATTGTACTTTTGACCTAAATGAGGGGGATGCCTCCTGGGTTTTTCCTTTGAGATCAGAGGAATGTAGATTTCAAGTGGGGAAGGAGCTTGCATAAGGTCTTGGGGTCCTGAATTTAGAGCCAGAAGGGACCTTTAAGATCATATAGTTCAACCTTTTCATTTTTCAGTTGATGAAAATTGGGCCTTGAGTGGTTAAGGGATGATGGAGCTCCTCTAGTTCCAAATCTGGTGCTCTTTCCACTGTGTCATGATTCCCCAGTTAATATGTACACATTATCCAAATATTAACCATGTGCTTATTAAATATCTCAAAGTTTATAACAAGGATTTTTAATCCAGAGATTGTGTACTTTTTTAAAAATATTTTTTTTAAAATTTTGAGTTCCATAGTTTCCCCCCTTCCATCCCACCTTATTGAGAAGACAAGAGATTTGATATAGGTTATAGACTTTTTTAATTAATGTTTTGATAATTATGTTTCTATATTTTATTTTATGTCTTTAAAAATTATTCTGAGGTATCCATTCCCTTTACCAGGCTACCAAAGGGGTCCACGACCAATGGTTCATAGAAGGTTGCAGCAAAAAGCTAACTCTGTCCAGGGTTGTGCTGGTATATGTTTAACAACCAGCTTTCCAAAAAAAAAAAAAGGATGCATGATACATTTTCAATTTACAACATTAACATTTTCTCTCTCACTTTCTTCAGTCTATAGACTTTCTCAACAAAACAATGAATTCAAACCCTGATTTGTAGTTTTTCATTTCTAAGACATAAATGCTCACACTGAGAATTTAAAAGTCTGGCTCTTCAGAGCTGGTTGTTATCTGGCTTCACCCAACCCTGCCTGTAACCCCACTTCTTTGCCCCTCAAGTCAGTCATGTGACTTTCATATCTAGAATTTCACACACCCACAGATCAAAAAGGTACCTTAGAGATTGTCCAGCCCAGCCACCATGGATGAGGACCCTGTATGGTCAAAAAGACAACTGACTCTTTCCTGCTTCTGATACATACTACCTGTGTGATTATCTAAAAGGTGGAGGTTGGACGAGATGGCCTCTGTGGTCCCATCTATCTCAATTCTATAGAGTAATGTTATATATTTAGGCTGTGGTATGTATACCTACTTCCCAGCATAGCATTCTTTCCACTACAATGCTTAGGGTATTTAATAGATAAGGTAAGTAAGAACCTGTTTTTTAATCTTATTTTTAATGATACATTTAAATCCCTTTATTTTATGAGTATATCCTTCTCTTCCACTTACCC